AGGGTTAGGCATTCATTTTTAATGGTTAGGGTTCACCCAACTGCTGAACGGCAGTGCTCATCCACAAAAATATTTTGAAGCACAACATTTAATGCATTGCCAATCCCTGAAAAGGTTCATTTTGTTGTCATATGGTAATAATGAGAACTGCTTGTGTCCTAAATTAGTTTGCTTTTAGTGATATTGGTAAATGTTAAATGGACTGGTTTCAGTTATTGAGTCATCATGTTCAGGACTCTGAAACAGATTCTGCGAGGCATGAAGACATGTGTAAGAACAAAATTAAATATTTATTTTACTTTTACAGTAGGACATGACTGGTATAATTAAATATGCCAAAAAAGTGAGTAGCTGTTAAAGGGAATGTCTGCTTGTAGAATTATACTTGGATTGCATTATTTAGCTAGAAGAAATGATACAATGGTCAAACGACTTTTTATGTGGACTTGTTGACTAGTTGAAATTTCAGTGGACCAATGTTTCTGTAAGAAAACTATGTAGGACATGCTTTGACATTAAAGTATGTCAATAAGCTACATATTAGGCACATGATGCAATTCTACGCTGCACCCAGTAAACTAGTGGCTAGCCTATTTTAATGTGTACAAAGTATGTTATATAGAAAATGGTCGCGTGATAGATTTTAACTGAGTACATAATATTAAACACAATATAGCAGTAGTTCTAAAAATGACTCATGAAAGTAACATGTACACAAGTTAGAACTTGAATTGCTGACAAAGTGAAGTGTGGCAGGACGCTGAAAAAGAAGAGAGCTGTTATGACATTGTAAGTATCATGAATCTGATGCCAAATGACTCTTCTGATTTGATACAATATGTAGCCAGAGGCATGCTATTAAAAATCCCACCAAACAAGTCCTATGTTGCATTTGTTCCATAATCCTCTCTCAGTCTTGGCTGGGAGACATCTGGTTTAGTGTTTCCTGGTTTACTATGACAGCAGGAGTCATGCCTAAGATTTGTGCCTGGGTCTTTAAAAAAAAGTTGATTCTGTTCATCTGGGCGTAGCGTTTTTGGTTGGAGAAATGTTTCATCCCTCATCCAAGTGACATCTAGTCTCAGCTGACTGCAGGTTTCCCCAACCTTTTAAACTGTACATTTAAATAATGACTGAAACCAGCACCACTGGCAAACACTGGGCTATGATCCAGAAACTGACCTCACAGCCCATTGTTCGCCATTGGTGCTAGTGCCAGAGAGTAAAAGGTCTTTTATGTTTGAACTGATAAAGAGTGCTATAACAGACCTTATCCATATTTGCTAATAGTAAATCATCTTTATTCCTAACTAAAGATATAATCCAAATATAAGTTTGATTAATGAAAACTATTCTAATGTCCAGATTGTGTCTGATCCAGGTTTGACCTTGGCAGCTTAGAGTCTGTGTGTGTCTGGAAAATGCTTAAGATTTATGTGTGTCTGGAAAAACGTGAAAGATAAGAAATGTGCCGCCAACCCATAATAATACATGATTCTGAATAAGATAAAGTAAGAGAAATGTAATTGAAGAGAAATACCATAACTTAAATAAGGCATGAAATGAAGCATATTCATGTGTGACTGAACATTCATGTGTGCTGGAATTATTGACAAATTAAGTACTGCATAGAAAAGAAAAATAATGAAGTGATTTTTAAAGTTGCTTTAAATAATATATCTGGAAAAGTCAGATAGAGAGAGGGGTGAGGTGAAAAAGTGATACAGGGTTCTTCCCTTTGTCTTCTGCATGATGAGCAGTTCAGAAGATCGGACCTAAGATGTTGAAGATTCCAGCAGAGACCCCAGAGGGATCGACTGCTGGACTGTGAACCTGCAAACTGTTTTTGTATTTTTTTTGGCTTTTTCTCTGCTCCTTTTTACCATGTTAGAATATTAATTCAAAAGGATTTGGATTTAACTTGTTTCCCGTTGATGTGTCTCCTAATGGGTCATACCTACATGGAAGAGATAAGGGCATCAGTGCTCAAGGCACGCTCATTCCCCCTAACCTCCTCCCTCACAAGGATTAAAACAAGGTCAGCATTAGCTCAGAGTTGGTTAATTAGAAAAGTATAATTCTGCCAATTTCAATATTATTTCGTGATTGTTATTAATTGATGCTTTGCTCTTGATAAATTGCTTTAATAAAATGTCCTGCAATTAAAATCTAAATTATAGACATTCCCATTTCAACCCTTTGTGAATGTGATGGCATCAGCCACACATGGGTAAATCAAGTCCATTTGTTCACTTTATTAGTTTGTTTTGCAGTTTTCTTCATTAATATAATTCATTAATCATTTTATTTAAACCTAACACTGATATTATGAGGTGCACACATAGTGGCATTGTGGGGGTTTTCTAAAAATGTTTTGTTATATTAATTATGTTTCTTTCTTTGAGTTACCTGGGTTTGGGCGATGGCTGTTTCCTGTCTGGGCCAAAGGCGTTGCTGAGGACTCTGGGAACAAAATGCCTGCTCAGCAGGACCAACCATGGGCTTACCAGGAGCAGGGGTGTTTTAGGTTTACTTGGGTTATTCTGTGCTTAGTTAATATTAGTGTGTATTTTTGTTTTCCCCCTATTGTGTGTAAATGGTTTGGCCAAACCATTATAAAAGCTACCCTCTTTATAATTAGGCCAGTTTGTGAGTTAAACAAACAAAGTGAGATACAACTTAAGTTTCTGGAAATTACTTTTTGTAGATTTATATTTAGTTGACCTCTTTTATGGGCCTGCTAATTATGTTTTTGAATTTTGTCATTTTTGAAATTTTTGAGGGATAAAATAAAGAAAACCCTCTTGCTAAGCCTCTGCCTGAACATGTCAGCATTTGTTTAGGAAGTATGATTTTAAACATCTTAAGGCAAATGAACTTTTGGTATAAACATAGGTTACTTAGTTTCTTGCTTTTTGTTGAATTGTACCAGCTAGCTTCTTACCTTGCAGTTGCTCTGGAGGTGTGCCTGTGTCTACTGTCTGCTTAGACTAGCATGTGTGCTCACCGCTCCACACCACAGCTACATCTGGGCAGGCCAGAGTTTAAGTGATTTGATATCTAAATAGTGATGCACTAGTTTTGTTGTTTATCGCAATTCTGAAACTGCTTAATGCTGATTACGATTTGGGGTTTTTAAAGGGCTAGAACATGAAGAAAAGTGCAAACACATCATGTGTGATTACTGTACACATTGTTAATGGTCAAGATTTCATCTATACAAATATTTAAATCTGAATACTTGGAGCTGCTTCATTCGACACACATGCTTAAGATGGCTTATCTAGAATTTGGCCAAGAAACAACAAATCACAGAGTTCCTTTATCACAGCTTTATTTCTGCTGTATCTCGTCTTCCATCTTCACATTATTGACAGTATATATCAAAAAAATCTGAAGCTGAGCTTGAACAGGATAATCGTACCTAATCACACAAGCCATTACATCAGGGAAAAGTTAGAAAAGTTGAAGTTGAGGTTCATGAAATGCCCTAGTCAAAGCTCAGATTTGAAACTCACTGAAAATTTGCAAGTGGATTTGAAATAGGTAAAGCATGCAAGAAAGCATTTAGCATCTTGCAACTGGGGGGATCTGGAATGGTTTCGAGGATTGCTCTGTATTTATTTTTTATTCCTGTCAATATTTTTGTTGAATAAATGAGTGACAAAGCAAACTGTCCTCGGGTTGTTGTCTTAGGTAAATCAATGTCTCAGTTTAGCTGAATTTTTATTCTTAAAGGCCAGTGTTGTGTTGCTCACTGGTGGACATTTCTCACCTGTTGAAATCAATGATGATGTCAGCATTCTCACTGGTTACTTCACTGAACCTGAGAGGAGTAACAGCACCCCACACACCAAACGCCTTCTGGAAAACACTCTGCACTTTGTCCTCACTCATCTGCCAGGGAAAACGTATGATCCTGGTTGGCACAAACACGTTAATATCATGTTTTATCAAGCTTTAACATAAATTTAATATATATGTTCATGTGGTATGCTAGACTTCTTAAACTCTTGGAAAGAAACTGGTCCAAATCCATGTGGATCAATAGTATTAATCAGCATCGCTGCCTTTGGCTTGTCTCTGTCTATTTTTGATTTGCATATGATTGCTGGTGTTCTGTCCCTGGTAGGCCTAAGTGGATTCCCTTTGGAGTCTGTTGGGTTTTTATTTATTTATTTATTTTTAATTGTGGTGTCCAAAGTGGTTAAAGCAGTGGTCTTGGGAATATATTCAAGGCCATTTTGGTTGCTTTTTCCAGGCTTATGAGTTTCAGTGCTTAACTAGCACCTGAAGACTAGGGAGGAGCTTCTTTTGATTCTGGTTAGGCAGTGAGAAGGATCAGCTGTGGTGAATTCTGTTGCTAAGCTTCTGCTTTTGGTCCTTCTGTGTCAGTTTTGTGTATTTGGGCAATAGAGTAGAGCTTTGTTTCTGTTAGCAATACCAATTAAAGGCATGCATGTTTTTCTGGGGAATAACCTGGTAGTTAGTCCACCACCCTCAACTGTGATGACTTGTACGTCAAGTTCAAGTTCCTTTTATTAGTACCCTTGTTCTTTATTTTGCAATTATGAAGTGGTACCCTGCTCAAACACAGTCACTAGTAAATCTGTACAAGCACCACACTTCTTTAAGACTACAAAGAGCTGTCATAAATAGGTAAATTCAGGTTTAAACAAAAAATTGAATAGCTTAAGAAACTGTATCTTATATAAAAAGACCTACCTTCTCTTCAGTTGTCTTCTTTTACCAGTCCCTACATTAAGAGTCCCTACTCTCACCTCCACACTCCATTCCTGCCTTTCTTTCTCTTGTGCTGCCTCATAACATGCCTTCTTCCTTTCCTCTATGTTTGTTTTTGGCCACCAGCACCTTGTTGGCCACCAGCACTTGGGAGTGATATTAAGAGTGAACTGGTTTGTGGCCCATTTTTCAAACAGTAAATTTGAAAATTCATCAATAAAATACATTTCTTAGCAATAAAAAATATTATTCTGATTAAAGAGCTTGTGATTATTCGTGGATAAACCATTATAGGTGCTTTGTCTTTGATGTAAATGTATAAAAATTGTGTATGTTTCTGTTCTTTGTCTTGTGTACTGTTTGTTGTATATGTGTCTTTCTTGCTGCTGTTACACCCAAATTTCCCCTTGTGGAACAATTATAGGATCATTCTATTCTGTTATGTTCTATTCTATTCTATTCTATAGAAACATAACAAGTTATTATGGTAATTGCCAATACTGTACATTTAGGGGAGTTATGGCATAAACCTCATACTGGTTGGTGATGTAATAAATTTGCTAAGCTTAACGTTCCAGTGCTTCCACCATTTATAAGATAGCTGCCAGTTCTTTTGACAAATGAAAACTAAAAACAAAGTCTTAATGTGAAACTAAACAAACATATTTGTTTCATTAGATCCCCATACTAAACTAAAACCATCAGCTTTGCGTTCCACTCCTGCAAATTATGGTCATGTAGGCAGCCATGTAACTCATCAGCAAAACAAACAAACAAGTCACAGTATTTAGAGACTTTTTAGTGTTTCTTACTTGTAAGTTAAGTCTGTCTTCTCCCATCGCCTGCCATAGAGCGCAAATCGCTTCCTGCGCTGCTGTCTACTCAGGGTGTCCCTTCTCTTTTTCACATTGTTGTATGTCATGCTGAGCTGCGTTAAGGTAGGATAATCTGGGACTCCACAGCGAGGACGATTCCACAAATCTGTGTCGTTTGGGGACTTGAAATCGTACTCTTCATTTAGTGTGTCCTGTTCATGACTTGGCCTCTTCTTCAGACCGGCATGACTGTTGCTCCATCTCTGGGAGAAAGAAAACAGAGTCAGAGTACTTTTTAGTTTTAATAGATACATAAAGATGTAATGTTGGCTATGTACCATTTCTGCCACCTTTCTACTGGTAAATTCCAGATTATCCTTGGCTTTTGACTTCATACACACTTCTTTGAAAGTAAATCATCACAAAATACTGATGCTGATGACATAACGTTCATAACGTTCACACCCTCCTGGAGAATTCAAAGTACCTTCTTTATACAAAATGCCTCATTTTGTGATGGGTGCATTCACCCATTATACAAGCACGTCTTTCTATGCTTAAGTGCTTCCTGTCTAACATTCACACATATTCATACTCCAGTAGATGCATCAGAGTGCAATTTGGAGTTAGTGTCTCAATGCATGCTCAAACATCCAGGTAAGTAAATCCCAAACGGTTGATTGATCAACAACCACTGATCAAAGCCATAGACCATTGATCACTGATCAAAGACTATTGATAAATGGCTATGAGTACCATTCACAGAGAGTTGAGGAATGGCTGCAAATACAGCATTTTAAGATGGAAAAAATCAAATCTCATGATGTACCACAATTCACGGATCGCATTAACTCGGTGGACCAACAGATCAAATTCACCAGGGGAGATATGAAAAGTGGCAGGTTAGCCTTCTTAGACTGTGAGATTTCCATCAGTAATGAGGGACAGTTAAAAGTTCATGTGTACCGGAAACCTACGCATACGAATCAGTATTTATGGTCTAACTCTCATCCACTGGAGCACAAACTGGGTGTCCTCAGGACGCTACAACACAAAGCGAACACCATCCCCAGACACAGCGGCCAGGGAAGCAGAAGAACATCACATCCAGAAGGCCCTGAGTAAATGTGGTTATCCCAGCTGGGCATTTGTCAAAGCTGGGAAGGCATCTAAAGAAAGCTCCAGCTGATCCAGGAGAGAAGGACAACCGCTGCCCAAGCGAAAACCCTTAGTGAACCCTTACTGTATGTGTCAGGAGTATCGGAACAGTTGAACAGTCTAAACACCGGGTCTCTGTGGCTTTTAAACCTCAAAACATGCTGCACCAAAAATTGGTCCACCCCTAGGATCGAATCCCCTGACACAAACAGAGTAATGCAGTGTACGCTGTTAAGTGCCAGGAGGATTGCCATGATTTTTACATCAGTAAACCAAACAACCTCTGGCGAAGCTGATGGCACAACACAGAAGAGCTAACTCGTCAAGCCAGGACTCCGCAGTCTATTTACACCTACAGGCCTGTGGACACTCTTTCAATGATGAGGATGTACACATCCTGGACAGGGAGGAACGCTGGTTTGAGCGCAGAGTCAAGGAGGCCATTTACGTGAAAAGGGAAATACCATCTCTGAATCAAGGAGGGGGCCTAAGGGTCCATCTTTCACCATCTTAGGCTACGTCCACACTAATGCATTTTCGTTTGAAAACGCATCATTTTCTCTCCGTTTTGGCCTCCCGTCCACACTGAGACAGCGTTTTCCCCGAAGAAAAACACAGCGTTTTGAAAACGCTCTTGAAAACAAATACATTTGAATACATTTGAAGACGGTGCTTTCGCGTCGCAGTGTGGACAGTGAAAACGGAGACTTTCGAAAACGCTGATGCATTTTAGTCATGTGACCAATTAAACAAAGATAGCTGAGGACATTATACAGCAGTCGTTTTGTTTGCTCTCAATTTTGACAGCACTATTAAAGATTAATATCAGTTTGTACATGTTTCAGATAGCTTTTCTTGAAATTCTTTAATTCTCACTTTGTACTTTTGTGTTACTTGCAGCAACAACTCCACCTCATTGTTAGTCCATTTAAAAAACTCGGTGCTTTTCCTCAACATTTTGCTGCGACATTTCAAAGAGCCGGAAAGTAAATAAACGGCAGACAGAAATGAGGCAGGCCGAATCTTCCTGCGCTTCAAGCATGCGCAGTACTGCAACGTAAACGTTTTCGGCCATTTCAATGTGGATGCACAACTCTGTGAAAACGACTGAAAACGCTAGTGTGGACACGGAGCGTTTTGAGACGAAAACGCCTTTTTCAAATCTATTCGGGCTAGTGTGGACATAGCCTTAAAATGCTGTGATTGCAGCCAATTCCCCAACTCTCTGTGAATGGTACTCATAGCCATTGAGCCATTGATCAGTGATCAATGGTCTTTGGCTTTGATTAGTGGTTGTTGATCAATAGTCATGACAATTTGCATATTAATGATCAAGGAACTGACCTCACAGGCCATTGTTCCTTCAGTGGGCTGGTTTCAGTCAACATGCAAATGTACTGTTTATAAGGTTGGGGAAACCTGCAGTCAGTTCAGACTGAAGAAGTCACTTGGATGAGTGACGAAACGTTTCTCAAACTGAAAACGTTACGTCCAGAATCAACCTTTTGGAATTTGTAGTTAGTATTTTTCTCAAGGATATTTGGAATGCAGACTGGAGCAGCCAGAGATCAAACCATCAGCCTTACGAGATGAACCTCCTGAGCTCCAGCCACCAAGGGCATCAGTGTATGAGCTTCAGCTCAGTTATCCATATGATGTTTGAAGTGTCATAAGTTGCTGCGCTGGGCGTCTGTCACACTCCTTCATTACATGCTGACGTCAGCTGCTGGCTCACTTGTGTTGGTTTTTGTTGTCTGATGTGAGGGATGTAAGTTGGCCCAGGCCAGCCTATGATTGTTGGTACAGTTCAGTTTCAGAGTTGCTGAGTGGCCTGTTTTTCACTGAGAAGACAGTTAGCTGTGCTAATATGCTGCCATGTGTAGTTTACGCTGCTGTGACAAGGAAAGAAATCTGTCAGCAAGACTCTGGACATAAAATGTAATAAATAAATGTGTAAAATTGCGAATAAGGCAGAAAATTGCTATTATTAATGAAAGGATGAAAGTCAAAGTAAGAGGCAATTCAGTTTTTCACGTGAAGTGTACTTTTGGTCTACTTTTGCTGCTGGTTCAGTAAATTTTGATCGGAGTGATGAAACCTGCAGTTTGAAATTCTGTGTGGTGTTTGCTTTCAGCACCAAAGGTATGTCCATGTATATCAGGTGAACGGTGGGAATCCACGCATTGTGTTTACATCTTGCGCTTACTTGCTTTTTAATCATTTGCCGTTTCAGCTGTTTAGTGGTTGTTGAAATTACTTTGTGAGCTTTTAGCTGAGATTCTGATGTTTCTGATGTTTAATGGGACCCCAATGCTCATTTTTCATGAGCATTGGGGTTCAACAGGTTAATTGTTTATTGCTTAATTATGTTGTGTGGCATGAATGGCCATAAGGGGGGTTTTTGTCAGTAGGAAAAGCTGCAAAACTTATGAAAATACAGTTAAAAGTCCAACATTTCAGCTTGTGCTTGTTTGCGGTGAGCAACAGATCAAACAAGTCAAGAATTATAAATTTCTTCAAGCACTGTAAAACTCATTTAGACGATCAGACACCCAATATCACTGAAATGCAGCCAGATGCTGCTCGTTTTACGTTTTCACTTGTTTTTTCACTTCTTCTGACATGCTTGCATTTAAATCCGGCTCCTCGTCTCCCTGTGTAGGCCATGTCCCTCAACTGTGAAAGGGTGGAGTGCTCACTCCGGATCAGGGATGAGTGCCTGCCTCAAGTGGAGGAATTTATGTATTTCACAAGCAAGGTGAGAAGAGAGTGGGAGATTGGCAGGTGGATTGCAGATACTGAGAGAAGCTGTTACTATACCAGTCAATCTGTCCCCGTGCTCACCTATAGTCATGAGCTGTGGGTAGTGACTGAAAGAATGAAACTGCAGATGCAAGCTGCATAAATGAGCCTTCTCTGAAGTTTGGCTGGCCTCTCTCTTAGTGACAGGGTGAGGACTTAAGTCAGGGAGCTACTGTTTCTCCACATAACAAGGAGCCAGTTGAAGTGGTTCGCAGATCTGACAAGGACGCCTCCTGGGTGAGGTGTTCCAGGATGTAGTAGGATGCATTGGAGAGAAATACGTCTTAGCTGACTTGGGAATGGCTCAGTGCTACCCCGGAAGAGCTGGAGGACGTGGCTGGGGATGGGGAGGTATGGACTTCTCTGCTTAAGTTAGAAAATGGATGGAAAGATAGACTCACATACTTTCCCTGTCAATTCTGAAGCTACATTGATCTACATTGCTTTTTGGTACTCTAGCAGAGTCCAAGTATAAAAGTATGAATCTTGAATTGAACAGCAGTTCAGCTTTGTTCAGCAGTGCTGAACCACCGCCACTGCTTTAGACCTTTACTTTACAAAAGACCTTGTTGTTTTTGGTTTTTGAGGCTCACTCACAGCAAGCAAAGCTGTTAATCATCAACATCAAATGTCAGGTCTTAATCCGTTTACTATACATTCAAAAGCTTTGCAGCTTTAATTGTGCTATTTGATTTTAAACTTATAAAGGCCATTCAATAAAATAGAGACCATTTAATTCCACCTTACACTGGGTGGAGAGCACTTACTAACATGACGGAGGTTGACTGAACTTAATTCTTAAACTGACCCTTTGTCTTATAAATCAGAATGTCCCTATTTGCTTTGCACAACAAATAGCATTTGTGTTTGTCTTTGCTAACAGATTAATGGCTGCTAGGGCTTTCCTGCTATAGGTTCATACATCATAACTTTAATCTGACAGGCAATTTTTTACAGTAGTTCAATCCACTGAAACTGTGGGAAGTGGAACAACAGTTGAAGACTGCAATCATGTCTTCTATTACTAATATACTAAAATGTAACGTGATCAGTAACTGAAGATAAGGATTCACTACCCCTATTTGGAATTCAGTCATTTTTACAGTTTTGTTTTTTTCCCAAAAGATGCCCCTTGACGAGAAAGCCTATTTTGTTCCATTCAATACCCAAGAAATTTCAGTTTTCACAAATTTCAGCAAATTAGAAAAATGCTTAGCTATGTGTCTACTAATAAAACCTCTGTAATTTTGTGAAAAACTGAAAAGTTTCTATTTTCTATTTTCTACTATAGAAATTTCAGTTTTTTACAACTACAGAAAACAAACAAACTGGACAATCTAAACAATGAGCAACCAAAACTTTTTCTGAAATTTTACACATTTATTTCTTACATTTTAAGTCCAAAGAGTCATGGTCACAGTTTCTTTCCTTGTCACAGCAGCTTTTTCTTCATCATGTAGAAAAAAGTTAAATATGTAACTTCTTTATACTGACAAAAAGGGGATTTTCACTGGTCCGGCCTGCTTAAAATGCTTTAAACTCTTAAAATGAGTTTGGCACCCCAGGCTTAACAGTTTGAACAATGCTGAAGCCAGAGCCATGCGGAGCTAGCAGATCGTTCAATTTAGGATGAGTTGAGTGACAAAACTATAGTTTGTTCTGTAAGTATGTTGGCAATGAGTACAGGTTTGCTTAAAAGGCATAACACAGAGTCACATGCCACTAAAAGAAAGCATTGTGTATGCTTGGGAATCCTGCCGATGGGGCCAACATGTCCGCACAGGATAGTGTGATTCCTGCTTCCCAAATCAGTGTGCCTGAGATACAAGCCATGTGTACTGCTGGGCCCATCTGCAGAAAGGAGCATTATAGTTTTATCTAATAGGTGGTTACACTGAGGACTCTTTGTTGATGATGTTCAAACATGCAACTACACGTATATGTGCAAGTATGAACCTGCACACAGAAAAAAATGTGCACACACAGATGAAAATGTGTTCATCAAAGCTACAAAAAGCTGCATCACACACAGTGAGCAGATGTCTGGAAATTCCCTCTTCAGTCATGACATCAGGTCACCTGCACTATAATACCGGGGGTGTTTTATGGGAGGTTGTTAAGGGTGGTAATCTAAACATTAGCGAGAATTATCATTTTTACAGTGACAGAAAAAACAAGCAGGACTTGATTCAACTCCCTTTTAAACACATGCTGTGAGATATCCCACAGATATCCCTTGGCAGATAAAAAGTAGCCAAACTTTAGATAAATGATGCACATAGTGGGAGAAATTTCTCCAGGGTAAATATTTAACTACAAAAAGTCCTGAATATCAGCAGGCTGTAAGTGTTTTGCACACAGAGAGCTGACTGTGCTAAGTGTGGGGAATGTTTGCAGGATGAAGGGTATTAGCATGAATAGAGATGAGAGGCTGCTTCTCCAAGGTAAACATCTATCAGTAAACCTTCAGTCAACAAGCCCCATCATACTCCAGATAACACCAGCTTTTCCATAGGAACCTTTGAAAACATTGCAGTTTCTGTGTGTTGTGGTTTCCAATATGAATGGTTAGTTTTCTCTGTCCTTTGTGTTTTTGAAGGTTTTCCCCTCTTCTGTTCTTTCTGTGTGCCTGCGTCTGCCTTTCTCTCAAATCCTTTTTAGGTTACTTCCTGTATTATTTTAAAACTATTTTGATTATTACATATTTCTGTCTGATTGACCTGATTGTTGCCCTATTACCCCTCTCTCCCCGGTGTCTATTTAGTGCATGTCTTTTCCCTCATTTTTTGATGCACTTCCCTCACATGCCTCCATCGTGCTTGTTTCTCCTGTGTGATCCGTGCTTTTTTGGATAGTTTTTTTTATTGGACTTTCCTGGCTCACTACACAGGGCCTGTCATTAAACCAGTCATTTGTTGTTTTTATTCCCCCCCCATGTACTTGCAAATCTCTGTTGTCTGTATATTGGATGCTCTTGTAAAATAGACCTTAACAAACTTCAGCAGATTTTAACCTTTTGTCCTCATCCCACACTGTTTTAGGTCACTCTTTTGGCCATGTGTGGACAGGGAAAAACTCAGACGTTTGGAAACAATCAAGCAGGCATAGAGTTTGCTTTTTGATTCGATTTTATCGGTCCCAAACTCCTTTGTTCAGGGTGGAAATTTATGAGCGTATCACGCAGACCCTGCCGATTTCCTTTGATAAAAGTCCCCATCCATAATTGAGGATGTAGGGCAGAGTGATTTCATTTGAAAACAGTTTCCAGATAAAAGTGCATAAGTGTGATTATAGAAACAGTGTCTCCAGCAGTGAAAGTATTTGGGTCTGTGATTGGCTCAATACCAAAATGAAACTACTTCTCTATGTCTTGCATTCAAAATACCATTATAATATATTATCCAGATGATATATTATCATGAGTAGCAAAAATACTAGAAGTGTCTAAAATGAGAGGTACTGTAATACAATGAGCAACTTTTTTCAGTTCTTGAAGTTAGACTTAGTTTTAGCTACTTTATAAGCTCCATCCAGTGTATACCCAGCTCAGCAAAAGCTTTTCTTATTTTTTCCAAGAGTCCAAATTGATGTGTTCAAATGTCTTGTTTTGACTAACCAAAATAGCGCACCTCTCTCACCAAGGAAACAATTAACAAGTCCATTTTTAACAGTCAACAAATCAAATCATTTCGGTTCTGGTCGAGGTTACTTGAAAATCTCAAATAAATCTAGAGTACAGAGTAATGGAGGGAAAAAATAAATTTAATTCATAAGTTTAAAGCTAAATTTACATTTAAAACTATGTTTTCTTGTTTTCTTTTGTCCTTTCAGCTTCTAACATTCTAACATCTTCTGAACTTTTTGGTGAAAGACCTCTAAAACATGTCAAGAGGCCCAAACAAGACATGGCTTCAAAGGCCACAAGCCAAACAGCACGATTATCCCACTTAAACTGCCTCTTAAAATATGTGAGTGAAAACAACGTGATAGTACAGCCAACTTAAGATTATGCAGTGCATAAAATGGACAACAATATTGCTTGTTTTTATAGATGCACACTCTGGTCTGACGCGTCTGAACAAGCTAAGTTTCTGCAGTTAAAAACACAGACATTTCCTGTGTGTTGCGTTTTACATCATTGTTAGAGGAGTATGAACCACAGAGCTGTCGTTGTCGTCTCCAGGTTTTCATATTGTGAAAAAGTACATGTTTGAAGGATTCAGATGACCTATTCTGCTCAACTTTTACCTCATTTTTATTCTCAGACATCATATACCGGTATACAAGGCATTTGTGTAGCTATTCTGTCTCAAACTTTTATTCTTTTATTTCACTTTAATCAGTTTTTTTCTGATTAGATGTTCCTCATAAACAGAAGATTTGAACATAATGTGAAGAGTTTGTCTTTCTGTCTAAACCTGAAGACATGTTCTTCAGTGTTGAAGCAGCTAAACACTTACTAACAGCAATGATTGCTGATGGTTGGTTGCTATTTTAATGTGGATTTTTAACAATTGTGTCAGTCTCCAAAAATACTTGCACTTAACTGTAACTGTATACATTTGAATGAAGACCTTTTTTCGTTAACCAGACTCAAACACATGTAAACTAATGTGTTTACAAGATCATAACAAAGAATATTAGAGCATAAGATGTTACGTTGGATAGTCAGGGAACTACACAGAAACTGCAATTATAAGTATCACTAAAGTGGATTTTGGTATATTAATCTACTTTCATAAACTGTGACTAAAAAAAAAACATCTTTAAAAAAACTTTTCATTATTTTTAAAGTTGAGCTTTTGCCTTGACTGTTATGAGCAACAGCACCTTTTCTGGGTAACAGGGTTTGTATAAAATGCTAGTATTTGACTTAATGGTTCTGCTGCTTAACCTGCAGATAAACAGATTAATTCATCATTGACAGTCCAGAAGGAAGCCTCCCACACAAAAGAATGCCAGGGACTGATTGTTTGTTAGTAACATGAATCTGTCACAAGCAGCAGGTCTGCTTCAGCTATTATGATTAGTCACTGGACTCAAGGAATAAATAGGAATGCCAGACAGCTGCACAGGGTCCTTTTTGCCAGGGTTCCTGTCTGTGGACACTTAAAGCTTACAAACAAGTCTTGGTGGTGTTACTCTGCTGCACACTGCCTGTTTACCTCGTGTTTCTGTCTTTAAGTAGTTATCTGCGGTTTTTCCCCTGAGTCAGCAAATAAGTAGCGTTTGCACCGGAGTTACCAGGTGCGTGCCTCTGCCTGCATAATCTGACTCTCACTCACCGGAAAGCAGCTCTGGCACCCTCCAGGGTACAGTACACAGTAACAACAATAAAACTTCTTTTTTTTTTCTTTCTTTTTTTAATCCTTCACAAACAGGACCGACCGTGTTATTCCAAAACAGAAACACCACACTGGTAATCTGAAGATGCTATAACTATGAAAATCATAGTTCCCTGAGTCAGTTGTGACAGAAACTCATGATAGTTCACATCTCACAAATCTCAGCTGTTCAACCATCAACAGCTTTCAGTGAGAACATTGATGTCTTTAAGAAACATTAAGGTATGCAGAACAACAAAGGAACTTACAGCAGCATCTCTAAAATGAGTGGCTGTGACGATACATGCAGCACAGTTTTGAACACACACACACATTAGAAATATCAGGTAACTTTAACATGTTTAATTCGTTTATTCATGTCAACTTCTGTATTACTGGATGTTTGTTCACCATTGCATCTGTGAACACTTTCCCATTCATAAGGATCTCTGAAAAGTGCATTTACGCTTTGACTCACCTGCAGCTGCTTGGCGGTCCTGTGGTCGTGTACCGGCAGAGAACAAACGCAGAGGAAAAGGTACAAAGGCAGGATGCTGCCGTAAAACACGGCACCTCGCAGCATCTTTTCAACGCTGTGACGGCGACCGTGCAACAGAGCGGACGCAGGAACTGCGTGGATGGAGTGAATGAATGTCGGCCCCGGTGTCTTTGTCCTACTCAGGTAACAGGTTTACTACACACGTGATTTAACCCCTTACACTCCCAGCGGTGCAACTCGTGGGTTTCGCAAACTGCTGTAGTCTGTAAATCAAAGCGAGTATAAGGACCACTGGGAGGTCTTTTGGATTCTTTTTTCCAGAATTCTAAGAAAAAAAATCTGCATTTGGGTTTGTTTGTTTTCTGAATTCTGGAAGAAAAACAAAATCCAAAAAACGCTCACATTTGTTCCTCTCTCCGGTCGCCCCAGTCCTCTTCCGTAGCACTCGGACTGTAGATTCAGAAAGAAGGGAAACCTGTGCGTCAGAAATGTCGAATCCTTCGTTCTTTTGGATTTTCTCTGGAAAAATGTGCAATTTCTCCCGCTTTTGGTGGAAATCATTTATGTAAAGACATTCTTTATTACTCTCAGATATTTTTTCAGCTTCTTCCTTAATGCTTTTCAGACACAACACGCATATGGTTATGATTTACTTGTCTGCCTTCTTTTGGTCCAGAGGAGGACGTAACTGTTGGGTCTTTTCTCTGTTAGTAGGAGCAAATGTGCGTGTGTCACACCAGCAATGCATTCCCTTAAAATTATGAACCATTGGTCTATAATAGCTCAGATGTTTGCACATGTTCAAAACTTTATTCCTTTCTGCAAAAAGTTTAACGAATAAATGTGCGTTCCAAATATGTTTCAAATGCATGTTCTCCCAAATCTGAGCAGTAAAACTAACAAACGGAAATCAGTGACATGAACCATTTCTCTTGTTTGCAAGTATATATCTCGCAACGATTTTTTTCATCGCGGAAAAAATGTCTTTTGAGGATTTATGGATTCATTTTATTATTGTAAAACAAATATCCAGGATCTCAATTTAATAATCATTTAAATCCTTCAGATTTGAATATTTACTTAAAGAGGGTGCACCTTAAATTCTTAAATCTTACCATAACCTGGTTTAAGTTGTTATAATCACGTATTTAACAGTTGCTTTAAACTAGAAATAGCATTGACATTTCAATATATTTCTGGGGTTTAATGGTGAATTAAATCAAAACTACTGTACTTAACTACAAGGAAATTATATTCAAGATTCAAGATTGTTTCAAACAAGTAATTTGTTAAGGAACAGCTGATTAGATCAAAGAAAAAAAAATGTTTTAAGGACTGGAACATATTTGCTGTTCAAGCCATCTGTTCATCACAAATCTTCCTGCAGCAGACTGAATTACCTGCAGCACTGCTGGTGAGTGGAAAATGTCTGTCTCCCGTCCAGGTTTCCCGTTGTGTTGCTCATCTAACTTTGATGCATCTGTGACTCATTTTATGGATATAGGTGTACTGTCTGAAAGGGACACTGTAGGCTAATAATATAAGACTGTCTCATAGTTACAGGACTGGAAATGTCTGACTGCTAATTGCACATTTACAGAAACAGTTTATCATGCACCAACGCATGCACTGACATTTGATTGTGTTCGGTTTAAAAGAGTGAGGACATTGTCTAATTACTGTTTGGTTGGAGTTTAACACTAGAATTACTGAGCCTTTTTTTCCGCTGGTGCAAGTCCCTACTACTAGATTTACTAGCCCTGCGCAAATTTGCGTAAATTCCCCAGACCCTAACACCTCTTGGCACCCCGCTGAGATTTTCACAGGCCTTCAGCTCCATTGTTCTCCAGCTTTTGTTGTGCAAACACACCCTCCTCCAACCCCCAACCATGAGAGATTCAGGTCTTTCCTTCCCTGCAAGGCTACTTTCCTTCCTTACCTGCAGCGTACAATACACCATGTTAGTTTCTATGTGCAATATTTCTCACATGCAATATTAGTTTTTGTCAATCCTTGTCACTACATTGCATGCCTGTCCATAAACATATATACACAGAGTTGTACACATATTTAAATAGCCACACCTTAATGAGAGGTTCAGTCTGTACCAGCTACATCTCACATTTGCTAATTTACACACTGAACGTTAATATTAAGCACCCATTTCCAAACTACTAAATTATTAACTTGGCGTACAAGTTTCACATCTTCATGATATTATATTACATATTCATGTCACATATTCATGTGACAAACTTAATGTTTGTCACATGAATACGTTAGCTTCTTGTTCAAATGAACAGTTTTCTATTGGCCTAGGTGGAAATGTCTGGTTGAAAACAACAGTCAGGCAGGTGCAGATTCCATTCAAATAAATGAATACGAATCTTTATTTAAAGGTGAGCCTACAAACCCAGACAACAACAAATGAGAATGTACAAAGAGGCCACACTGGCAGAAAACAATAAAAACAGTATTATGCAACAAAGGGAAACTGAGGGCTTAAATACAGACATGTGGTAATCAGGGAGAAGGAACACACCAGGGGACACAGCCGAACAAAATCAGGGGAAAAAGGCAGAGGGACACAAAACTGAACAACACAAGACGAAGACTAATAAAATAAAACAGGAAGTAACAAAAGATAGAATCACAAATGGGGAAGATGACTTGGCAAGGAATGGAGAGCACAGGGAAAGGTCGATAAATGAAGGGCATTAATACAAACCAACAAATGTCAAGAATATAACCCAGCAAATCATGATATTAAGCACAGACACATAAATTATCACTCTAAGGAAAAACCAGAAATACCAAATACAAATGAGAACACAACCTACGCTAAAATATAATATTAGATACACTCAAAACAGAAAAACTACAACAAACCAGGTCAAACAGAGT